GTGCGCTAACTCAATGAGGCCCCCCGGGATTTTTCTATGAGGCAACCGTCTCTTCCGCGATAGGTCCACAGAAAGAGATACCGCTGTTGAGACAAGTAAAGTGATGGACACTTTCCAATGATCGCTCATTCCAGAATCAACACTGAGTCGAATCGGTCCGAAGTGAGCAGCTCTCCTAGTCAATTTACACAAAGGCATATGCAAATCGAAGTTTTCCGATTACACGTGTTCTATTTCGTATCCGTACTCTCCGTTTGTCAGTCTGCTCAATGAAAAAATCCTACCACAGAAGTACAGAAATTTATGCCCTTTCGGTAGCACGATTCGAGAGAAACAGAAGCGTGGAGCATCAGTGGGGCATTTGATTTTACCTGGCGATCTTAGGCGATACCCCCTCGTACTATTCTAAGAGTCTCGTAGCATAAAACATCTAGTATAACAATGGAATATCTCGGACAAGACACTTGGGGCAACCAGCGATCTTCTTGTGATCTTGCTTCACCGTGGGATGACTACTGCAACCGTTTGTCTACATGGTACCCGGCGGTGTCAAATATAAAACTAGTTAAATTTTATAAATACCAACAAAGGATCACTCAGGGAACAGCAATAAAGGCCAAATAGCGTTCGATAATGTGCTATTCACCAATAAAAGTCCCATATAGCGAATTGAATCGCTATCCCAACTTAGCGCATTTTGTTGGCTAGTCCTTGTTGTTGTTGTTGCTTATCCTATAATGTCTGCTTGAGTTCATTACTGCGCGTTCGCTGCTACTCCGTCCAATCCACGTTGACCTTCGTTCATACTGAGCAGCACTCATTCAGGACTGTTCTTCCAACGTAGGCCGTTATGGTCAGTTTGGTTGGTTGTTCGTGTACCACATCAACCCATGTGTGAGGTTTTGTTTGCTGACCGACTTGACTTTAGTATGCGTGTTACAGTGCGTAATTTCTTGCTGGATCAAGATCCACTATGAAGTTAGCCCCGATCATCCCATTTGTGTGAAATCCGCGTCTGACGTAGACATGCTTTTGTGACCGTTCACATTGAATGCTGCACTCAAAGAGCAGTGACCCCATTGAACGAGCTTCTCAAGTAGAGATAGTATGGGACATTGTGGCCAGTGCATGTGGACTAAGCCACCGAACATTGCGATAGAGAGACTCATGGCACGGCGCAAGGATTTTAGTTTCGGCACATAGCAAATGTTATGCCGAGCTACTCGTTGTTTAGCCGAATCAGCAGATTAACCTCGGTCGCGTGTACATAGCGTGACCGCAGCCAAATGTGGTCATCATTGTCCGAGAACGTAGCGGAAGACCATTTTGCCCTATTTTGGGACTCACGAGTGTTATGTAGTATGTAATCAGAGTGACGAAAACGAGTTGCATGACCAATCAAGCGGCTCGAATGAGGCAAACGAACGGAGCAGATGACTGGACGTCTACGCACCTCCGCTGGATGGTTAATATTTGACTGCGTTGGAATGAGTTTGCTTGACTGAAGCAAACGAAGAATCCGGTGGAAGTGATCTAGTTATAGTATACATCAGAGCTTCTACATGCTAGTTATGCTGTCATTCTAGCCGAGACTGCTTTGTTGAATGGATAGTTTGTTTCGGAAAAACCGAGTTCCACGACAACGAGAAGCGCACAATCCCTCTCGGGATTCGAACCAAGTCGTACTTGCCAGTTGATTATGGCACTGGGTCATGGATGACTGCTGCTGCCTACGTGGTCAATTGAGACCTAGTGCATCCCATCCTCTACTACAACTCATCTCAGTGCCCTGCGAAGGACGGGGTTGCCTTAGGATGCATAAATTCACTCATCAAGCCGCCAGTTGTCTGAAAACAACATCATGGGCTGCTCACGTAAATGTAATGTTGGGTGAGTGGTATAGAATTGTGAAGACTTTTTACCGATAAGAAAACTTTTATTCGTAATGATGAAGCCACTATTCTGGATGACACTTTTCAGCGGCTGGATTTCCTCTCGTGGAACTTGCTCTACGTCCTCCCATTTTCGGGTGCATAATTCAGTCTCCGAGAGTTCTAGCTTCGATTCTGCTCGACGTGGACCCTACATATATGCTGCGATTGAGCTTGCCACAACAGCAACTTCGGGCGAAGGCCGGAGACAAATCTGTGGCAGACACGCTGCGGCATTTGAAGAGATTCGAGAACTTGAACATGTTGGATATGGGTGGCCAAGTGAGACATGAATCAGAATTGGACGCAGTCAAGGAGGTCCTCGCTCATCTGAGAGGGCTCAGAGAGATTGTTTTCGTCGACCTACCGTGAGTGCACTCTCTGTTGTTATCCATTATTCTCGCGAATCCACCGATTGCAACAATGCTAGATTACGTTCCGTACTGGCTTCGGATGGTTAAGCTGCTACCGTACTGTGTAAACGACTGGTAGTGTGTTGTCATTTGTGGGGATGGGTGCAGCAAAAACGGGATTTGTGAATTCAGTGACCAACCAGCCTGATAGGTTGGTCAAGTTGCCACAGCTCCAGATATGTCACAGCGCTTCCAGTCGTTAGCGAACCGGGTACACTCGTCAGCATGCAATTCAAGGACAACAGTACGACCGTGTTGGGCCGATGATCCATGGTATCTGGGTACGGTCCACCTGCCGATGTCATCTCGTGGCGCCTGCCGTAAAGCTGCCATAACACAAGCAATGATATGCTACTCGGCAGACCGAGACGCATTCTCATTAGAAAAGCGTGTCGTATTTGGCTTTAACATAGTACATCCAGCATGCAGTGGGATAGACGTAACGATAGCATGGTTGACCTGATGTCTGGAGTTTACCAACATTAAGGTAGCTCGATAGTACGCCGATAAGTGTTGTCTATTCTCGGCGGAACTTGTGGATTGGCCGAACCTATTTGCTGATCTACTGTGAGTACACCAAACGACGATTCCGTTGTCGTTCAGTCGGCGGTCTGGGATGATAACGATAGCTAGCATGTCGAATTCACATTAAAGTGGATACGATGTGAAACATATGGTGTTCCTATACATTCCACTTACCTTTTCGCTGCTGACTTTCTCTTCCGACAATCATAGTGCAAGATATCAGACCAAACTCTGTGTGTTTTGCACGGTCCACTCGTCCGAGCAAAAACCACACATTATCGATCGAAGACAGTTGCTACTCTGCGTATGAGAGAGTCTGACGGCGGCTCTGAACGTACCGTGGTAGCGTGTAGCGAAACAAATCGACCTCGCAAGGTATAGACTAGTTAAAATATGATTACTTGCAAGTAGGTGATCGAAGAGAATACACGGAATAACAGCACCAGACCATGATCCGCAACTACCGATAGTTCCATTACGAAGTATATACCCTGCATCAGATTACGACCCATGTCGGCATCGTACTTCGTTTGTTATCGTGCCGGCACAGTCACAAATTTCGATGCTCGGATTATAGTTGATCAAGTAACATGAACTAAGACTACCACAACCAAAGACGGATGCAAGCTGCCGCATCCAAACACAAACTTCAAGTCGTCCTTCAGAATACGCAAAGAGCAGTTTAGAGACACGTGTCTTGAGTTCCTTAACACGGTGGCCACTGGATCATTCAAACAGCTCAGTCATCAGCAACGTAAAATTTCGGATACAGAAGAGAATTCTTTACTTAGTATCTGCCTCGCTTCGATTCATTACATTCACTCTACCTCGTTTCATTGACTCATGCACGCTACAGTCAGTAAACCAACTAGGCCAGTTAAGCACTCGGTGTTAAATACTGATGTACATGCAATCTCAACGGAATAACACGATGCTATGCAATGTTGTTTTGCCCCTTCTTTTACAGAAAAGAATTTGTAAAAGACATTATTGCGGCCTGCAAGCCTCCATGTAAAATTCGGATACAGCGATACGTGTGACGGGTACATTTTTATAAAATTATTTTATTTCCCAATTCTTCTTCATTAATATCGAACGAAAAAGGTTGGAAAGAAATGAGGTGTGTGTGAAAGCGGCGTGCCATCACCTCGGGTAAGTTCATCAGACAAGTGTAGTCGCTATGGACAATATCTTGGAAATATCACCAGGAAGACTTCGAAGTCGGGAGGGAATGGGGACGAGAATCCGAGTGCCTAGGGGGTTGCCATCGTCATCCACCAGCACGATATTGTTTGACTCAAAACGGGGCCATCCGTCGCGTGATGGTTGTCTGGTCCCAACAATCCATCCTCTTTTCTTCACCCCACCCACTGCCACAACGACCTTATCGCCTGAGAGCGAGAGACAGGGAAATGAAATATGAAGGTGAACACGGACCGGATTACTCATGTTTGGTGCATTTAGCTGCTTGTGCAACCTAAGCTGGAGAAAATGCACAATTAGTCATTTGATTGTGCGAAGCCCTTTCTTTGTAATACAATACTACATATAAAGGAATAAAAGCGCGGGGAGTGCATGTAAGGGTAAGTTCATTTTCTAGGTTGTCGGCCGCAAACACTGCATTCGACTCTTCAGACGAAGATATCGGGGCTAATGGAATGACGAAAGATGCAGTGGCTAACGGACGAAGCCTTGGCCAGTTGGTCCCGTGAGCAATAGCATTGCAATGCAAACAACACACAACAGATACGCAAAACAAAACGGCCAACGAGTACACGGCTTCACTCCGATTGGTTGCGCGCTACCTACGAGCGAACCTTGCTCAAGTGGTGCTGCGTGAAGCCAACACGCTTCGAAGAGTAGCCAAACGAGGGTTAGGCAGCGACTAAACTTCTTGAACAGAGAACAATGTGACCCGACTCGGGTTTACTATGCGGAAGTTACACGCTCGATGGCTTTCGTGGGAGCACATTTTCAATCGTCCAGGACCTAGCCAAAATGTTATAGAGGAAAATTCGTCGGATCCTGGGTTAATGGCTTATACGAAAAGCTTACTCTCACCTATCCTACCCCTGTTGGTTGAATTGCACACTCGAATGCACAGCGCGGGTTTCATGGCCAATGTTCTGCTCCCCGAATTTAGAACAGTACCCAAGTCCAAACCGGAGGTGGGGATAGTTTTGTGGCCGACCGTTTGTGGGGTTCGTTTCCTCGGGTCCGCGACGCGTGGTGCGATGCTACTCCAGGGACTGTTATCCACTACCCTCAAGCGCGTCTGGGGAGCAACAAATCGCAATGCCCCATGGCCAACGGATGTCGAGGTCCTGTTGAAATGGAGAGGGAGCAGGTGGAGAGAGAGGCAGGTCTGAATGCATGTGCGGTGCATTAAGTTGCAATGGTTAGTTAACTGTTACCCGAACACCGAAATGATTCGCAATGCCTCGCATACCGACTCATTGGTTTCCTTGACATGCTCTGGGGATGTTTGTTGGAAGTGATGACACATTTGTCGATGAATCAATGGTGTACAGGAGCCAAAAGCGATAATTTTGTGCATCAGAACATCCTTGGTTCAAAAAGTTTGGACTCAAAAATATAGGAGCATCTTAATGAGATATTCCGTTAGGGGTAAGAACTAGAATTAGTGACAAACCTGCTGACCTTAAGGTAGTCTCCTTCCGGCTACCCATTGTGGCCGCAAAATATTAGCAAATACCTCAGGCTTTCGCGAATCGAGAGGTTACCGCCGTTTTTAGAGTCTTGTCGAAAGTCAGACGGATCAGTGCCGAAACGGTTCTTAAAGTAGTTCCTCATTTCATTCAACTAGGGATATTGCGAACTCTGGATCAAGCCGGAGTTACAATGTAACGGTTTAAAGTAGGGCGAAATCCTGCATAACGCAGCAACAACTGTACGAATCCTGGTGGGACTACCGCTCTCGAGTAAAGGTGCCACGCACTTCGCTTTAAGCGCGATCTACCTCACCCAAGAAAATAGCGCAAAAATATCGTAGTCAAGCAAGTCAGTCCAGATAACTATCCTACGGGACCTACATGTGTCAAGTGCTGCACACAACTTACCATATAAAGCGGGTCGTAAGAGCCTTTGCCGGGGTAAGCTGGCCCAAAGAGAAGAAGGTAGGTATGAGAGACTGAAAAAGAGACAAAACGAAAGGTGTAAACATCACAGACAGAGGAGCTAGCAGACGTGTATGCCCTGTGAAGTAACACATGTCAGTTGGATCCAGTCCAGAAAGCACGGATCAAGTGGAAGAGTTGTTACAATGATTTACAGATAAGAAAAATCAGAAACGCTGAGAGTCAATGGGTGAAATCTCTCGACAGCTATTTCGTATTGTGGAGAATCGTCAGAAGTGTGCAATCCGCGGCTTCAGCAGTAACCGAAACCATGACATCTGCACACCAACCAGCGACTGGTATCTAGAATGATGACAGCAGACCGCCTTGGCTCATAAGCAAACTAAGATAGAGCGTGGTTCATCCTGGACTCACATGCAATTTGCGAAAGTTGCAGCGTGTAAGGTTGGCCATTAGTGCTATCCAAATCCGCAGCTATGTATGACATAGCATCTAACAACCGAATATTTTGACAACATGTGAGTGGGAGATTTTTGATGGAACAGCTAATATATGTTATGTCGTATACGGCTGCTGGCATGAGAAGCCGTATCTGTGGGTGCCAACTCCGCACCCTGCAATGATCGGAGGATGACATGCGCTCTATCGTTGTTTGATTGTGTGTCATGACGGTCTGCTGCCACCACACTCATGGTCAACTGGCACAAACCGTTGGTTGGTGTCGAAAGGCCATGTGTTCGATTGTACATGGAGCCAGGGGATGCGCACTACTAAAGTGACCTCCGATGGGACAAAACGGCCTTCCAATGCTTTTCCAGACGCGTAGGTGCTAGTTGACTTGGAAGCCATTGCGAATAACCTCAAGCGACCAATAGAAGGAGAAGACAATCTAAATATCTATAATAAACGTCCCAACAATTGTGTGGAGTGTTTCCAGAGATATCCGTCACAATCACACAGCACATCAGGAACAGGATTAGACAGCCACTTCGGGACTCGTCAACAGTGTGCAGTCCACATGAAGTGGCTCAGCAATACGCCGGTACGCAGTACCGATGCTTCGCTGCCGCGCAACCATCACCAGTCGTAGGTGGGCTAAGGGTACTGCGAGGGTCGTCCGGCTTTTACGCAGGTTCGAACCCGCGCCCTCTTATTCCAAGACAAGGTTGCGAGTCGCAACCCAACCCCACAGCATGCGCCCTAACTTCAGTTTTGAATTACTTTCCGCTGTGCCAAGCGTTGTTCGCGGATCTCAGTAGCATAGTGTTCAGGGCGTTAGCCATGAAGTACTAAGCTCTGAGTTGCACCCTAGCTCAGGCTATCTCCACCTGACGAGTCTAAACAAAGACGAAACCGCGGTCGTGGTGTGCCAGGGTTGGGCAGAGCAACACCCAAATATATCCAACACAGGAGGTTGTTCGATGGTCGCAAGGAAAGCATCAAATCGGGCTGGGAATGATTTCTAAGCTGCTTGAACAGTCAAAATGGATGACTTAAGGCGGCTACAGCTAGCAAGTAAAATGTACTGAAGCAACATTAATACATAAATTGCAATAGTCTTAAAGTATACAGGTAAGGTCACAAAAGGATAAGCTTATCATGAAGCATCTGAAAAAAAACGAAATCTAAAGCCGCCTAGTAGAATTGCTCCTAAGCAAGAGCTTTCCATATACTTACCACTTAAGCGTAATTCTGCAACTGAAATCTTATCTCTACACCTGAAAGATACTGTTGAGAAAACTTATTTCGCAGCCCGATTGAGAATTGTTTACCACAACAAGCCATTGAATGGAAAACCGTTGAAAGATAGACTGCCATCTTTGACCCGTTCAACACACGTTAATCAGCACTCGCGCTCCTGTGGGACGCGATACGTAGGTCGCACCACGAGACGCCTATCCCAGAGGATTCGCGAGTACATTCCGGCGTGGATTTACAAAGGCGAAATGAGGTCCTCAACCAGCTCAATCATGTCGCACCTCCTTGAATGTGGCCATACTGTTTAGGAGAATGATTTTAAAGTCATCTAGTCACTATCTGAACGCTTCTCGCGGATTCCGAAAGCTACTTTGGCCTATTGCCGAGGCTATCTACATGCACCAACTGAAGCCGGAATTATGTAGACATAAACGATTCATACGGCCGATTATTACTATAACTACTACTACTACTGCTCTCTACTACCTACTACCGTGGCCGACTGACATTGCTACTCAGTTATCCCTTTGTGAACTTAACTGTTTACTCTAGACTACTGAAGATTATGCATTATTGTTCCATTAGTGCATTATACTTGTCATCTGTAGCCGTCTTAAGTCATGAATTTCGACCTTCCAAACAAAACTTAGAAAACACTCCCAGCCCAATTCGACGCTTTCCCCAGACACAATCAGCGTTATGGAAATGTTCGGGTCTGAAAAGAGATCACCGAAAAAATTCTTAACTCTGAACTGATTTCTGAGCATGATACTAGGAACCTAGTCCAAGTGCTGCCTAAGCCAAAATTCAGTAGTTTAATCCGTTGCCATCCATTTTCCGGGGTATAACAACTATATTTGTTGCGTCATTTTGGAGAATGGAGTCATCTCTGCACACAAGCGTTGGTGACGTGAGTGTGAGAGCGCACTGGCCAACCTCCTCTGACCTGACGTTCGGTAGTAACTGCTACATCTTGCTCTCATAGGCGTTCGCACCCAAGATACGGATCACCAGCAAGGGTGACCTGGTACTCTCGAACCAGAAACATACTACTTGTTTTACGAACGGGGAGTTCAAAATCTGAGCGTAGTTAGCTGTGCTCCAAGCATAATTTCTGCAAACCAAACACCACCTCCTGATCTCTGAAGACGTATGACTTGTTTAGATTACAGACTGGTTCGGCTCACTTCCCATCCAGTGGGCAGCGTGTTCACAAATACCAGCCCTAATTTTGAAGCACAGGACCAGTTGGTCGCAAAATCGCACAGCAAAAAGGAGAAGGCGCTTTACTGCGACGGACTGTATTAGTCATGAGTAATGCAATATACAGAAGAATGTGCGGTGAACGAAAACTTTTGGAGCAGAGTCCGTTAGAGAATGGGCATTAAGAGTTGTGCTGATGTCGTTTCAATTACGTAGAAAAGTATACAATGGTCACCCCACTGTCTCCAATCAATTTGGAATGAAGCTGAAGGGTTTCTAGAAAGGAAAACTGGTTATTAGGACTGGTGGTGGTCATTCGATAAAGAATGAAGAACATATCGGAAATGGCAGCCAGACTATTCAAACAGCATCATCTTATCGTAGCAAACAAACCAACTGCTATGTAGCGAAACTCTTTCAAAACCAAAGGAAAAACTGTAGGCGTATGAACAACGCAATGTGGTATACAAAATACGTTGCCTAGGTTGAAAAAGAGATTATTTTGGCCAGACGGGAAGAAAACTGGCAAAAAGGATACAAGCATATAAAAGAGCCTGTGTAGAGCATTAGACACCGTGGCTAGTTTTATTGCACGTAGACGAATAAGGGCAGCTTCAATTAGAGAAAAGCAGAGGTCCTGGCACAAGGTGAAACAAGAAAAGGAAGGGAATTCCTGGAAGCTTGGTTCTCAACGAAAATATCAATCAACACGCAAGTCTACATCGATTCAATATACCAACCACTTCGACAGAAAGAAATGAAGTACATTTTGTCACGCGGTTTAAGGCGAACAACTGCCACTTGCAAAAGTCACCTGCAGGTTGATCAGGGATGGACGATGCATTCAATAAGATTGCACGCCGCATCTCACTGCACTGAGGAGGTCACCTCGCATGGTGGTGAAACGTTTGCAACAAAACCGCCAGGCTCGGAGAACAAATGAACAATTGAATGTGGGACGCACTGTGGACTCCCACTGCAACTTCTATGGACGGGTGCAAGTATTTGAAAAAGCCGATTGTGTAGAAACATGTGGAATGTAATTCGTGTTACCTGAAGTAATGCACACACACACACACACACACACACACGGAAAAAGCCTAGAAGCATAACGATGACTGTGAGTTGGGTAACGTGTATTTTTGTACAAAGCGTATGCCTGTGTTATAGTAGTCACTCTAAGATGAGTGTACGCGATTTGCGGATCCTGGCCACACGTTTCTTGTGATCCTCCTCCATATGGTATCGACTTGGTACTTTGGGCCGCTCAATTTCAGTCTCTCTAGAAAGAATTTTACCACCGCGCGCGTGCGGTATCACGTCCACATCTTTCAGCAAATCTTGCACATTCGCCGGTAAAGAGGTGAACTCCTCGAGCGAGAGGTGTTTGTGCACATTCGTAGGATCGTCTGGGGTGACAGAACCACTGGCGTAGAGAAGCGCGCTGAGCTTATCTGGTGGTAGGTAGGAGTAATACTCGGAGTAGTTGTATACATGGAAAGGGAGATACATCTCAACGGTACCTGAGAGGAATGCAAATGAAGATATTAATGGTTAACAGAAATTGGAGAAGAATGAGTGAGAAGTGTGGGAAGCGGAACGTAAACCGGAGCTACAAAAGATGTGGATCTGGTATTTTACTACTGCATGATAAGCCGACGCCAGGAGCATGTGGTTAAGATCTCAATCGATTTGGTACAGTGTAACTCTTATTGAGGCTTCATCGTAGCAACCAGAGTCTTCCACACGCTGGAAGAAGCATCAGAAGATTGTCTCGGCCCCTTGGGACCTTCCTGTGATGCGTATCGCTCGGCCACATCAAGAACCGAGATCAGCTAGCGGCTTGCGCTATGAATCAATGCGTTATAGCGCAATCCACCCTCCCTCGTCATGCTAGTTGCGGAGGTTACAGAGCACAGCGCTAACACCGAGAGCCACAGCTTCCAATAACAGCAGCTATGTAAGACACAGCATTTAATGAATGCTAAGAAAAATGTTTTGATGCACGCATCGGGGATAGACTGTGGAATACAATTATCAATGAGCTCATCACACAGTAACTATCTAGTCAGTCCTCCACTCGTCCGAAAATTCAACAGACGGTCGGTTCGTCCTGCTGAGACCCATTAGCCCTGTGCATCTCTTTACTCTATCAAGTAAAGCTCGAGCAACAAGCGGAGGAAAAGTCCGTAGAATAGATGGGCTGAGTGACTGATGCACGGGTTTCATTGACTATGTGAGCAAGCGCTAGGTAATTCTGTTTTGTTGTTGCGTAGTCATAAATTGAGCCTAGAAACTAGCGATAAGAGAAGTCATGCATAGAGCGGAAAGTGAACTAGACGGGACGGCATTAAGGCATGAGCTGTCTCATATCTGGTGAACAGGACTGTGTCGTGAACAGGTAAGCACAGACGCTCAACATATGATGATTATATTCACCATGAGACACCCTGAAACTGGCTGAGGCGGGGGGTTTGGTGAGAGCGAGAAATAACAGACCTCAGGAAAAAGTGAACAAAAGATGACAGCATGTGTGTTCGAAGAAAGCCACTGAGTTAAAATGGGAGCATTATAGGCCAGAGCATTTCCTAACGGCTGTTTCCCTTGTGCGTCATTGTCTACTTGGAACTATAGCAATCTCGGCATTCATCTAACGAATTATGTAAACAAATAAATATACGTACATATGAGCAGGAGATTTTGATATAGATAATTGGGGTTCGTCACAACCAGCTTCCAAATCAGATAGTCGTTCACAGACCCGGAAAAGCACTAGATTGCAGTTTCAATCTGTTGAGCATTATCAGGGTTGGACCCCATGACCACCGAAAGCTTGTCATAAGTCCTAACTCTACACGAGGTCAGATTGTACATGGCAAGAAGTACGGAAACGAACTTTCCGGGGACGTCATCCCTCAACAGACAGTGCCACACCGCATTCGTGTCGACAGAATCGAAGGCAACACGGATATCCAGGAACACAGCAACCGTTGGCTTTTGGTACACGTGACGGAGCTCGAGGGTCTGGGGAAGTTTGAAAACTTGACCAATGCAGCCGCGACCAGGGCGAAACCCAGCCTGATTTCCACGCTGTAGTGATTCTCTGCAGTGCGAGACACGCCTGCATAGACATGATTATAGTAATATTAACGAGAACAGTTGGTGATTGTACAAAAGCGCCACAAGTTACCCAGTTGCAAACTGGATCTATGTGCGTATGTATACATGTAGGGTTAGTGTCGTGCCCCATGCTGAGGCTGATGTTGCATTCTTGATGCTTCTTCACCGCAGTTGGGCTAAACCAACTTACACTTAAAACTAGGTCTTTTTAAGCTGGATAAATTTCATTCCGCTTTATTTCGTTTGTTCTGCCTCCCTGAATAATGTGCTATTAACTGGCCACGTTGCTTACACAAATTGTGCCTTTCTTCGGTAATTTTGTTGCGTTTGTAGCATGTTAAGTAACTTGTGGACATTTCTTACCTATCACGGACTTGTTGCTAACCAAATTACTTCCTATGGTAATTTAGCAAAGAGTTATGCCGCCGTATCTGTATGCATTATTGGATTAATTTTATTTCAGCTCTTCGTTTAAAGTGAATGGCTGTTGTTTGATATCCCTGGTATGGTTGCGCTTGATGTGTATGTTGACAAGGTGCTTACCCTATTATCCACTACATCGTTCATACTGGCTCCAGGAGACAGTTGGTCGTTGCTGGAGGGGACGGGGTGCACGGTTCTTGTGGCCGTGCTAGGCTCAAAGAGCGGTTCCATGCACTCAGTGTGGAGCGGACTACGGTCCAGCCACCGCCTTGTGTGCGCTTGATTCCCCAAATACAGCGTGCTTGTGTTTGGCTGTGAAGGAGTGTGGGCCGGCTCCGTTGATGAAACGTGGTTCCCATCCGCATGCCTCCCGGTCTTATTCCTTCGGGTTTACACTGGATATGGGGTATGTGGTTGGAGCTGTGGGTGGTGCAGCGCAAGCCATCCATGGTCCCTCTGTAGGCGCAGGCGTCCTGTGGCTTGCCACAGTGACAGGCAAATCCGAAACCGGATGCCGCCAACCAACCAGGGTTAGTGTTAGTCGTCTCAGTCGGACTAAACGCGACTGACTGTCTGTTGGACGTGCACTGGACACATAAAATCTCCCGTGTCATATGGAATGTCTTGCTGCGCTTGATGTGAATGATGAGACGGTTTCTACCTGTCTAACATACACCACCTCGATTACTGGCTTCAGGAGACTGTGAATGGTTGCTGGTGAAACGGAGTGCAGGGTTCTTGTGGCCGTGCTAGGCTCGGAGAGTGGTTCCATGCGATGTGGAGCGGAATAAGACACAGCCAGCGATTTCTGTACGTCTGGTACGCATGGGTCCCCATGGACAGTAATGCTGCTGGTACTGTGCATGTCAAAGGAGTGTGGATCGGCTTCGTTGATGAAACATGGCTCCAATCCACATCTCTCCCGGTCTTATTCCTTCGGGTTTACACTGGATATGGGGGTGTGTGGGTGGTGCAGCGCAAGTTACCCATGGTCTTTCAGTAGACATAGGCGTCTTGTGGCTGGACACAGCGACAGGCAAATCACAGTGGGAATAGTCCAGGGGTTTGGCTTGTGCGTCATGACATTGACGGATAAGCCCATAGTGTTGACAATGGGAGTCGGTGGTTTGCACTTTCCAATCTGATCCACGCACCGATGCACGTCAAGCTGGCAGGTTTAAGACCGCACGTCGCGCGTTAGGGAGTTCTACTCCATCCATTCTATTCACGCAGCCATCAGATTTGGCAATTTCCATCGCCTCGGCAATCAAACGCTGAGGGGTTGATTGTATACCCCTCCTAATGACCCCTACGTTTTCGAGGTCTATCCGGTGACCCGTGTCTAATCTGTGTGCCTAGTTGTTTCGACACAGATATCTAACGCCGTTCCGTTTTTCTTTAGTGCGGCACAATAGCTGAAGTGTTGCTCACCTTCAACTAATGTGCCATAATGCCCATGCTGCAGCGACTCAACCTGTCATCCGCGGAATTTTATGGCTTTGTATTTATTGGACAATTGATTCATTGATGAGCAGAGGCCAGGTCCGCGAGGCACTGTGGAGTTGCAGACACTTCATGTGAGCGACAGGTCACTAATATACAAGCCGCTGAGGTTTTGGAAAGTCACACGAACTTTAGCAAGGAGTACAATAACTCGGTGATATAACAACCAAAGGTGATACATACACCTAAATAGGCAAACCGATAAACACTTTCAAGTGATTGTATCATAACTATGAAAACTGGCAACGAAGTGGAAGTGTAAGTTTCGTCAAACCAAGGTATTCTGAGTGTAACAGCCCAGCAGAAGAAGTTAGAACAAAGGTTAACCAAAAGTGTCTCAAGTTGAAGAAATAGGAAATATATATATAGAACAGTGAACGTACGCAACAACAATGAAAAATGAGCCGGATCCAAGAGGAGAAGCAATGGGAGAAAATATTGCAACGAATAGAGATGTTTAGTTCAACGCAAAGTGTAAATGACTTACCAAGGTCTTGTGCTTTTTCAATCTCTAAAAGTAGTCTTTTGTGTTGCGCTCGGCACAAACCTGTCAAGTGGTAAACAAAGACGATTGAGTAAATATGCAGACACGCAGGGCAGCTGTGCAATCAGACACGTTGCTATTGTGGATGTTGAGAAATGAAGGAAGATGGCAGCCGGCGCAAACAACCGTCACGCAGAGTTCAACGGTCATTAGACACATAAGCTAGTGTAGAACACCTCAGTGCCGCAACACATTATAGAAAAAAATACAACAGCTGCATGCTAGCTGAGCTACCAGCAACGGATGGGCATCGTTCCGGAAAGCTACTAGCCGGCTACTATGAAGCAAAAAAAATCACTGCAAAATTATATAAGGCTAAATAGTGAGATCGTGGTTGGAGGGGAGGGTAAGCGGGGTGGGGAGGGACAAAGAAACTCATAGTAGGTACACCACTGAGGTCGGCTCCTTGCCATATTAGCAAGTGTATCTAGCCAAACGTGTTCATCAACTTTGGACCCCAACCAGGGAGCCGTGACGTTCCAATCGAGGCCAGCTCCGAACTGAGGCCCTTCATTCCGAGAGTTCAACGGTAGTGTGGAAGGTGATGGAACAATACTCTTTAGTACCAAAGGTGGCCATAATATAAAAATAGAACAGACTGTCGGCTGGAGTTGGAGGTGTTGATGCTAACATCATATAAGTTCAGTTAACCAGCTATGACTCAGCTGCTCTGATGTGTCGCGATGAGGATGTTGGTAACGACAGCGCAGGACGAGAAGGACAAAAATAAAGGACCGGAAGAAGTTGGAATGATGGCATAGAGCGATAAAAGACAGAAGCACGAAACTGAGCCGACTAGGCCATTCCTTGGTACAAATCCCACCTGTGTCTGACACATTGTGGCGACATGGAAATGTTCCTCTACCAATTGTCGAGTAATCGCCTCGGCGTTTCGTCCAACCAGAAGCAGGCCGGCAGACAATACGCACTTATGTGGTCCGTCTGTAAACGTAGGTGACCCAAACGCAACAGACGATCAAGTGAGGAACTAGGGAGCTTTTATTCGAGTCCGACCAGCGGACGACAGTGTCACTCACTTGTAGTTCCCGGTAGACATAATTCTGCTGGTCAGAAGCACTGGTTCTCTGATGGCATGCAAAAACAAATGGTCTAACGAGAGTAAGTTTGGATACAGTATCAACAGGGTAAGATCTAAGGACAAATCCTACAAATTGCAAAAGGCAAGGAGTACTTGTTTCCATATGTGACGAAAGCACGACGTGGTTCGGCCAAGGCATATGTCGCTAAAACGCATAAAAAGCTAGCCGCAGCTATGGGGGACGGAAGTGTGAACGGATCTACGAAAGGGTAAAGGCGACGGCCATGTATCCAGATGAATGTTCGACCGAGGGTGACTTGCAAGGAACACTCGTCTGTTGGAAGATAACACGGTATACATTGATCGTAGAGTTTGTTCGCTATTCCGTGACAATTTACAAGGGTGTGGGCGATCATATCAGTTAATCGCACGAATTCTGGTAACCGTTCTTTTACAAGACAGCGGTAGTCCACCGATATGTCGTACCGACGCTTACTTGTCACGTGACCACCATCAGCCATATGCGAGGCCACCAGCACTTATGCCATCCCGAGCCCTCAACCCGTGAATTTAAACAAGCCAGAAGGCTGAATCACTCAGTCCCCGGTCTGCTTCAACTACCGAGAGTAAAACTAACAGACAAGGGGTTGTGACACACCTTTCTGCTTGATACGCTTATGCACACATTTACAACTTCCGAGTTTCATTTTATTGCGCTCATTCAATGGCATTTGTTTTAACGCATGGTTTTGTCAGTCCCCCCATTAGTTGATATTAGGAGGACACTTACTGCACATACAGTTTTTGGAAAACAGTCTTAGTTACCGATTTGTTTTTCTCCGCTATCGTTGTTACTGACACCTGTTTAAACACATCATTCCGCTAATTTCATTGGATGGCAGTTCCACATGGCTGCGAGTACTCACTTTTCGTTCATTGCGTGCCCCTTATTGGTTCGTTTATTGATCAGCCTTCACTGACTTCATTCTGCTTGCATGTTTACAGCAACATCGTGGGCTTGAATAGCTTTTAGTAGTTTTTTCAGCACATTCTCAAAACTATTCCATATATATATATATATATATATATATATATATATATATATATATATATATATATATATATATATATATATGCCCTATGCTGAAGCGGATGTTGCGTTCATGATGCTTCTTCACCGTAGTTAGGCTAAACCAACTTACGCTTAAACTAGTTCTTTTTAAGCTGGATAAATTTCATTCCAATTTAGTCTGTTTGTTCTGCCTACCTGACTAATCTCTATTAACTGGCCACATTGCTTAAGCTAATTGTGGTTATCTTCGTTAACTTGCTTGCGTTTGTAGCATTTTTTGAATAACTTCTGAACATTTTGTATTTACCGCGGATTCGTTGCTAACCAACTTACTTCATATGCTAATTTGGCGAAGAGTTATGTCTGCATAGCAGTATGCTTTAACAGATATATTTTATTTGATAATGTTATTTCAAGTGATTGGCTGTTGTTTGATATCCCAGGTGTGAAGTGTGGTTGGAGCTGTGGGTGGTGCAGCACAAGCCACCCATGGTCCCTCTGAAGGCGTAGGCATCCTGTGGCTGACCACAGTGACAGGCAAATCCGAAACCGGATGCCGCCAACCATATATATATATATATATATATATATATATATATATATATATATATATATATATATATATATATATATATATATATATATATATATATATATATATATATATATATATATATATATATATATATATATATATATATATATATATATATATATATATATATATATATTCGTAGAAGTCGGGCAGCACACGTGCTGCAATATTCGTAACTGTGCCAATAAAAGAAGCGGAAATCGATACGACCACTTATGTCATCTAGTTTTTGCAAATTCTGGTCAAAAGAGCCGAAGCCACAACCGGAAAATGCGTCCAATGCGAGCAACCCGAACGAATTCCATACTCACCCGTTTGACGACAATCGAGGATCTTGGCAGTGATGGGATCCACGAACTGGACCAGTAGATCTGTGTGCTATAAAGACCAAATAAAACATTAAACTTGGGATACAATGGTTACATGTCGAGTAGTGCAATGGGGAGCAGAGAGAAAAAGCAGTGCAGCGAAAATAGGAAAAAACATCCCGGTAGCATCGGTGATGCCAATGAAAGTAACACCAGGGTAGATAGAAATGCAGAAAAATGGCGCATTCCGGTTCGTACAGGCAAATGCTTGTCAGGAAAATGAAAACGAGAAAATTCAGTAAGGAATGATGCCAACTGATACAAACAACGGTTGCCATAGAGAACTAGCATTGGAGGGAGAAGTGTGTGTTAGCGGATCACGTCAAGAGTAGAAATGCACTCAACCACAATTGAAGAGCATGAGAAACGGTGCCCTGCTGGTGTCCCGAATCCTTGCAAGAATTAGTTGTCCTGCGGTAACAAAAACCTATTGTATGCAATTCCGCAGGGGGTGAATAAAAGGAACAGGTATCCCAATAGTAGGTGGAAAAAGGAACAGAATACCAAAAATAGTAATGGATGAAGAATGGTTTTCGCTATCACTCTCATCTGACATAGAGGTTAAAATAGAAAGTATTGCATGCTAAAGGTGCCGAGTTGGATTGAACAACGCTTAGGACGCTAAGGTCTCCGGTCGAATCGATAAATCACATTGTCATTGAAAGTAGTAGATTAAGTACAAGAGTAGGTACAGCACAACCATAGGTTAAATGAGATATCAATATAGTGATTCCGAAGGGACAGTTATGGACCACGGATTACACAGGTAGATAACGGTATCTTACCCGATAGTCAAGCACCAGATACTCGTCTCGGCAAATTGGACAAGGATTTGACGAAACAAGCTTATTCGCTTTCTGTTGAAGAGGAGAAAAGCGGAAAATTGGCGAATGTAATACCGGATCCCCTGTCGCAGCTGTATACGTAGGAAGAAAGATCAACTAATCCAAGTGAAGTATAGAATGTGAAACTGTCTGCAATGACTTTGCGCTATTTGTAGCGCGTCTCAAAGTCTCTCCGAAATAGGCTTGGAACATACATGGATTTCATGATTTCAGACGACTTGGAATATAAATGGGTTTTCTGTAGGTTTTTATGATGGGAACATTTCGCTCTTGCCGCAAGAGCTTCTTCAAGCCAAAATGCTTACTGCTCACTGTCACTGCACAATCTTTTCAAGATCACTGTCATTAAACTAGGTGGCTATGCGTAGTCCCACAGCAATCGTTCTCTCTCATTCTCGACTGTTAGATCGAGAGAAAAAAATACACTAAGGGGAGCTGTTTTCTCTTTGGGTCCAGAGATGAACCACCGGTGTATTCGCGTTACGACCGCCGAATTAGATGGCTATGCAAATATGAAGGCCTCATTGAGCATAGCCTCCTCCTCTGTGCTCTAAGGAGGACCGAGGGAATGCGCGCCACTGATTAGCCCCAATAGGGCGAAACGCGTCTGGCGCTTTTCTGGACTAGGCTCTGCTATGTAGCTTGTGAACTATTGGGATGAAAGCTTTATCAGAATTACAACTAAAATCCTGCTACTCGTGAGTAGTATAACATAGTCCCACTTGTCTAAGTCATAGTCATTAGTAGGTTCTTAAGTGAGGTTCTTCTTCGCAGC